GCTGGCGGTTGCCTGTTTCGTTTCGCTCTTCACTGAGGAGCGGCTCCTCGTTAGCAGGCACGCGCACCTGCTGGCAGCGCGGCTGTGCGAGCTCCTCGGCTTGTCTGAGATGAAGGTGGCGGTGGTGCACCACTGGGGCAAGGCGAAGATCGGAGGCGCGGCCGCGCGCGCCCCTCTGGGCGGCGCGCTGTTTTTCTTTTAGGCCGCATCGATTTCTTTGTTAGGCGCGGCCGCGCCCCTCTCGACCCCTGTCTGTATTTCCTTTCGCCCATCCCCAATTTCTTTTTTAGGCGCGGCCGCGCCCCTCTCGGCCCCCTTGTATTGTCTGTATTTCCTTTTGGAGATCGCCGATTTCTTTTTTAGGCGCGGCCGCGTCCCTCTCGGACGAGGCGCTGCTCGCTGCGCTGGCGCCAAAGCTGGACGCGACGGCGGGGGCGTCGCACGCGAGACTGGCGGCCGAGGCGCTCGCGGTCGGTCGGCGGGGGCTGGCGGCGAGGTCTGCTGGACCTAGAAAAAGAAAGACCCCGCGTAGAAAAAGAAATGCGTCGGCGGGCGGCGAGGTCTGCTGGACTACGTACACGTATTCTTGTGCTCCGGCTAGCCCCTCGCACTCACGCGGCACTCTGAGTACTCTGCACAAGACCGTCCTCCCGCCCCGAGGCTGGCGTACTCAGCACGTGTTCTCCTGCAGAAGGAGGGGGGCAGATCTTCCCAGATCTCCCCAGATCTCCCCCGTATCTCCCCCCATCTCCCCATAGGCTGCGGGCAGATCGCCCCAGATCTCCCCCGTATCTCCCCCGTATCTCCCGCAGGCTGCTCGAGAAGGAGGAGAGATCTCCCCCAGATCTCCCCACATCTCCCCACATCTCCCCACGTCTCCCCACGTCTCCCCAGATCTCCCCCGTATCTCCCCACATCTCCCCACATCTCCCCACATCTCCTCAGATCTCCCCGTATCTCCCCCGTATCTCCCCCCTATCTCCCCGCAGGCTGCTCGAGAAGGAGGAGGACGCGACGCGACGCGTGCCGCTGCTGCTGCAGATGGGGGAGGAGCGGCTCGCGCTGGCTGCAGCGAGCGTCTTTCTTTTGGGGGGGAGGCGCACGCATTTCTTCTTTGTCTAGGAGCGGCTCGCGCTGGCTGCAGCGAGCGTCTTTCTTTTGGGGGGGGGAGGCGCACGCATTTCTTCTTTGTCTAGGAGCGGCTTGCGCTGACGAGGCCGCGCTGAATTTCTTTTGGGGGGGGGGCACCCGTACTGTCTTCTCTCTCTCTAGGAGCGGCTCGCGCTGGCTGCACCGAGCGTCTTTCTTTTTGGGGGGGGCACCCGTACTCTCTTCTCTCTCTCTAGGAGCGGCTTGCGCTGACAAGTGCGGTGGCGCACGGCGATGCGGAGCTCATCTACCTGCTGCTGCTGCACCTCAAGGCGGGAGATACGGGGAGATAGGGAGAGATAGGGGGAGATACGGGGAGGTAGCTACCTGCTGCTGCTGCACCTCAAGGCGGGAGATACGGGGAGATACGGGGAGATAGGGGGAGATACGGGGAGATAGTCTCTCCGCTGCTGCTGCACCTCAAGGCGGGAGATACGGGGAGATAGGGGGAGATACGGGGAGATAGTCTACCTGCTGCTGCCGCACCTGAAGGCGAGGCTGCCGTCCGCGCTCTTCTTCGAGCTGTTGCAGCCCCACCCGGCGGCGCAGCGGCTGCTCATCCACTTTTGCCGGCAGCAAGACACAAAGACGCTTCGCGAGTTTCTGTACCACGCCGACCAGCCCCTCGAGGTATAATAAGAATAATTAATCTTATTATTACTAGAGTTCTGTACCACGCCGTCCAGCCTCTCGAGGCCGCCTCGCTCGCCCCCTCCCTCCC